AGTACCTTTCCGGTACATGTCTCGTCGGTTGCGCATGAAGAAAATATCGCCACCGCCACTCTTCTCCCTCTCCTTCTCGCGCACTTTTGCTTTCCGTTTGATGTATCGGTTTAGTTCTTTGACTACAAACGACTGGTCTGTGATCACAAATAGACATCATAGCATGTTAAATGATGGGTGCACCCTTATATATCGGTGGAATACTGGACCATGAATATATGGTTGGAGCGCCGATATACCAGAGATCAGGGTATTTGGACTGTTGATGTGACCTACATGTATCGGAGGTTGATTGCTGGACCTTCTGGGTGCGATACGTCCTGATGAAGGGGTCCTTAAATACATGCGTGCGTACAACCAAACATATTGTTTTTAACAGTCCAATAAACACGCACGTACGTAGACAGAAATATCAAGGGTATGACAGGATAGTCCCACCTGAACCTTAGGTATATGCATACTATACAAACTATACAAACTATACAAGCTATACAAACTATATAAACTATATAAACTAAGTACACTATAAAAACTATATAAACTAAGTACACTATATAAACTATATAAACTATATAAACTATACAAACTATATAACCTATCTAAACTATATAAACTATATAAACTATAGCCGTAGCTGCCCAGAAACTCACCTGTAGGTGCAGGGGTGAGCATTGGGCGGTGCCACCTGCGCAGCTGCTTCTTGGTCAGGTGTGTCTTGAAGAAGGGGTCCATGAGTTTGTGTGCGGGGGTGGAGTGTGCGGTTGCCGTCTTCTGGTCACTCTGCTGTGTGCGTGTGGATGACGAGAGCTTATCGTTCGATAGGTTGTACATGTCTTCGTTGTTGTCGTTGACCTCGGCTTCGAATAGGGCCACCTGAGAGAAAGGGAGAGAGCCCAGGGAACACGGAGAGGGAGGGTGGTTAGTACGGGGTTTAGAGGTAGGTAGAATCAGGGTATTAGGGTTTAAAGTTTAGGTTTAAAGGTAGGTAGAATTGGATTATTAGGGTTTAGGGTTTGCGGTAGGTTTTTAGGGTTTAGGGTTTAGGGTAGTTAGAATGATGTTACAAGGGTTATTAGGGTTATTAGGGTTCAGAGTTTAGAGGTAGGTAGAAGGGTTTTATGAACATTCTTTCGGGCTTTAATAATGCCAATGCGAATGGGAGTGGTAGTATCAGAGTTTCTGATACCACTTCAGAGTCCCACCTAAGGCTACCGATTTAGGGCTCCAAGGTCCCCGCTACACCTAAAACCACACCGATTTAGAGCCTAAGGTTTCAGAAAAACCTAAACCTCTACCGATTCATGGCTCTCGGGTTCCAGGAAAACCTAAACACTGCCGATTTATGAGTTCAAGATCCCAGCTACACCTGAGATCGTTAAAGCTGCAGGGACCCAAGCGTACCTATACTCGGCCAATTTAGGGCTTTCGGGTTTCAGATAACCCTAGACTCCATCAATTTAGGACTTCGGGGTTCCAGCTACTCCTGAACAAGCCTTAACATCGAAGTGACATCGCTACAACATTCCAACAAACATCTGCATATATGCAAATAGGGTGAGAAACATACCAAGACACAAAGACTCCAAGATATAAGCAAACAGCCATCCACCACACACTTGAGACCGACACAATACACAACAGCACTGGGCAGTGGTGGCCAAGCAATCCACAACAGTCAGAGCACAGTACGGTTACTTACACGTGCTACAACACCATATACACATTATGTACTATATATATATACATATATATATAT